TGTTTAGGCTTTGCCTTTTAGGGTTCAAGGTGGTTTAGGGTCTAGGGTTTAGGGACTTTAGTGGTTTAGGTCTTAGGGTCTAGGGTTTAGGGGCTTCAGTGGTTTAGGGCTTAGGGTTGCAGGTTTAGGTTTTGGATCCAGCCCTAGACCCCATATTCCCTGGCCCACCTGCTGGTCCATGCCCCCTTCTAGTGTAGACGTTGGCGATTCAGCAACCCTGCACGCTTAACTCTTGCAGTACTTGTGCAACTTTCCACAAGCATCCCTTGGCCTTATCATCAAGCCCTTCTGAAACGCTTGTAACACGACATAAACCCTAAACCCTCAAACCCTAGACCCTAAACCCCAACCCTAGACCCCTAAACCCTACACCCTCAACCCAAAAACCTTAAACCCTAAACCCTAAACGCCGGCGACCTGCGAAAGCTGCGGGGCTGCTGCCAGGGTATCTCCTTGTGGCATCGCTTTGAACCCTAATCGTTCAGGCTTTGGGGTTTGGGGTTTGGGGTTTAGGGCTTGGGGCTTAGGGTTTAAGGCTTTAAAGGGGTTTAGGGGTTTAGGGTTTTGGGGTTTTGGGGTTTAGGGTTAAGGGGTTTAGGCTTTAGGGTTGGGGGGTTTGGGGTTTATGATGAGCCAACCCTCTAAAGACTTGCAGGTTAAGGCTTTTGGGCCGAAAGAGCCACCTGTACATGTGGGGAGGAGGGGTTGTAGATTCGGGGCATTCGGGTTGCAAGGTTTCAAGATTTGCGGCCCTAGGATTGTATAGTCTAGGATTCGGGGGTTCGGGACTTGGACACTTAGAGTTTCGAGTTTGCGATTCGTGGGCTTGAGGCACCAATATAAGCAGGAGGTTAGGTTAAGGGTTTATCGTTTAGGACTTAAAAACTTCTGCAGCTTTACTGCAAAGACCTGGAGAAGGACCACGAATCATGCGGATAATACGGAGGCTTTAATGTTTGCAATGGGGTTTGGTGGCACATTGATAAGAAAGAACCGTAGAGAACAAAAACTGGTGATGACTTGGGCTTCTATATTACCCAAAAGGCGCTAAGCGCACGAACATCCCTAAACCCCGAGAAACCGAAACTCTAGAGTCAAACCTAGCATATCCTAACATACGTTGAACCCTAAACAAAACCCTGAAACCCAGAAGCCCTCCACCTTTTGGGGCGGTCCTCTGGGTTGTTGCTTTGGAGGCTAAACTAAGCTACCATCATAAGGATCTAGATGAGCCACCGGGTCTCCCTACGTTGCACTCCTTAACAAGAACGCAATCTGCGTCCCTAGAGCTTGACGAAAAAACGAAACCCCGATGTCCCTTTAAAGGAACCCGAAGCTATGGTATCTTAATATAAACCCTACTTGGCTGACTTCTGAACCCCTTCTCAAAGTTAAGCTTTTAGCCTACTTATTGTAGCTCATATAGAAACCCAAAAAGTTAAAGTCGTAAGAGCCAGAAGAACGCCAAGCTAAGTTAAAATAAACCCTAAACCCTAAACCCTAAACCCAGTCCTTCTTGGCTGGGAGGCCTGGGTCCTCACCTCTGGGGTGCACGGAAGCGCCATGCGCAGGGCCATGCTCTCGACGGTTGAGTCGATAGAGCAGGGGCCCCTTTTAATAAAGGATAACCCTAAACCCTAAACCCTAAACCCTAAACCCTAAACCCTAAACCCTAAATCCCCGAAAGCTGCAGAACCCTCCCAGCAAAGATATCTTGGAGATAAGACCAGGGCTTTTTCACGGGTTCTAGGGCTCACATTGCCAAAACAGTCTTGTACTTGTAGGGTTGGCCACGGAGTCTCTCGGTAGCTATCCATTCTCTGCTCTCAAGTATTGCTAGTCTCGCATGTACATGAGAGCGACTAGGATTGATACTGTCGTCGCTGGAAATTTCGCCACATTGCTTACTGGGTTGTGTGTTTGCAAAGGCTGTTCTTCGGAACTCAGGCACATGAGCCCGAGTCGTTGAAACACAGAAACTACAAGAGTTACATGCTGCCAGCGTTGCTCTGGCTGCTGGTTTGTCACATGTGCTGTCCTAGAAAACCGTGTTCCCTGGGCCGCCATCGGGGCAGCGACGAGTTTGATGCAAAAAACACGATGGCTGTCCCAGAGCAGCCCAGCAAAACAAAAAGAGTCGGTGCAATGCTGCATCAGACTAGCACCGACTACTCAAATGATTTTCTTGTAGGACCAGGTCATGGCAGTACACAACATCTGCAATCAACGGCCAGCAAGCAAGTTCAGGCTCAGTGGTTACTTAAGTTACTGCCAACCTAAACCTTTGACCGAAGCTTTTATCATGGGCTTGGGGGAGTCCGGTACCGGGAATGCCAGCAGAGCAACCAGACTAGAGGTAATCCGCCGATTGGCAACCCCCCTAAACCCTAAACCCTAAACTCTGAACCCCTAAACCCCTAAACCAGCTTTTCGGGCTTTCGACGCAGAGCGCGGTCGGCAATTCGAGAATGCATGTAAGCATGCATCAACTAAGAGGTCTCCACCTGCTTCGCTCACGACAAGTGGGAAGAGGAGTCTCCAATAATAAAGGAGCCGAACACATAGAAACATTTCGTTGATATAAAGAGGCCCAAATGAGCCCCAAGAGGAACGGTACCTTGAAGAACCAGTAATGACAAGCCACCAGCCCCGAACTAAATCTTGCCCGGGCTGAATCCTGTTGTGACCTTGCACCGGAAACTCTAATTCTCAGCCCTGAAACCATGATCGAGTTATCATGGAGGTCTCTTACCCGACTTGCAGTGAGTCGCTCCACCCTCGTGCACCGCTGGCTCAGTAAACTGCTTCTCGTCCTATTGCGAACTCGGCTCCCAGCTTCGGCAAGGGGGATGCCCAGGTCGGATGCGTGCTGAGCTTGACGTTGAGCGAGGACATCGACCGCCGTGTTCTGCCTCCGAGGACTCCGTGATGTCAATGGAACGTACCTCGGATGGTTTAGGGTTTACGGTTCAGTCTGTAAGGTTTAGGGTTTAGGGTTCTCGAGAAATCTCGTCGTCTGTGGTGGTCAGCAGTGCATGCAAGAAGAGGCTTTACCAGGTGCCACATTTTCATCAACACACATGTTATGTGTGTATACATGTGTATATGAATATTATACAGTTCGTATACAAACAAAGAAACATCCAACCAATGTCTCATAACAGAAACATAGACCAAATGTAAATGCACATAGACAGGCAACAAATGTATATGTATATACATACCACCCGGGTCTGACCCGAGTCGTGCTCGCATGAGAAAGGAGGGAAAGACGCAACAACAGGCATGAGGTGAAACCATGGGCCCCTAGTAGGGGCCCTGAACCCTGGGACCCTTATATGCCTACGATATACCCTATATGTACCCTAAAGGGATCCTCGAACCCCCCTAAGGGCCCATATTAGGGGCCCATACTTCCAACCTTGGAGCCCTAAAACCCTAAACCAGTTCAAAAGTCCCTGCCGAAGGATCCTTAAGCCTTAGGCACGTACCCAGACACTCCAATACCCCTTAACTTAGGAATATCCCCGAAATTATAGGGGGCCTGAATATTATGATTTAAGTATAAGGTAAATTCCTTAATTAAGGGGTATTGCGAGGCGCTGGATAAAGCCCTGGTTTGCTATGTGTGGATGTGCGATACAGTGGACCTGAACTCCACTACTCCATGCACATAATAACACACAAGGTGCGCCGAGCTGAACATCGTTGATTTGGCATTTCCCGAGAAAGAGCCACCTGCAGGGAATAAAGTAGGGTTTGCGCAGTGAGAAGTGCCTGAGTTGGGGAAATCATATCTATATCCCTAAGCCCTCCAACCCTAAACCCTAAAACCCTACTTTCGACCTACTGGTCTGAAATGTTCACATAGGGCCCTCCAGGTGTTCAGGATAGCATAAAGGCCTTCATAATTAGGGTTGGGTTTAGGGTTTAGGGTGGGGACAGGGTTCCAAGCCGGAGTATCTAAGGAGAAGAATGAACATAATCACGGACCCCTGAAGCGTGATTCTGCAAAGCTTTGAGGCTCCGTATTGATGGCCCTTCTGAGCAGAGAAGGTTTTCTGACTAAGAAGACCTGGGTTTAGGGTTTAGGGTTNNTTAGGGTTTAGGGTTTAGGTACTCTGTTAAGATGTACGACATGTTGGTCAGAAGTTCCAGCCAGAGAAGCCAGTCTAACTCCTAAAGCCCGAAGTTCGAAACCGTTTCCCATAGCCTCCACGGTGCGGCCTACTTGGAGCGTCAATCAAAAGATAAGTGCAACAACGAACGAACCATAAACCCTGAATCGTAAACCCACATTAATGTGGAACAGTGGTTGTTGGTGCTTCGGAGCAGCTAAACCCAATGCTTCCACGCCCTAAACCCGAAAACACCTATAGGTCCTTTAGATCCCTCATAACCTTATAGAACCCTCTGAGCAATAGGTGACTTAATTGCATTGGTTGGTATTTGGGCCAAGAAGCCTGAAGATTCGAATCAACCCTCAGGGGCGATGTGCTTAGATAGTATATGCTTTGGCTGTAAAGCACATACATCGGGACTACACTATGACCAAACTATACACTATATGGGTACATGAACCGTTAGGGTAACGTTGCATGGCCGTAGATCCCCTGTGAAGCTTCGTGCAGTGGAGGTGGGCTTCGAGCTTTTCACTCTGGATCTTGGGAGATACAGATAGAAATAAAGATAGATATATAAGAAAGAAAGATACATAGATAGAGAGAGAGAGAG